ATTATCTGAGTCAAGATAAAGTGGTGTAATCGCATGTTTTAACAGATTAAATTGTGATGATCCTTCAGTAACATTGACCTCTCTTGTTGTTCACTTGCAAAGATTACCATTACTCTCAAACACAGTGGGCACATCCAGGTGAGTGCACACATGCCTCTTGCAGCATCGCAAAGCCCTTTGAGATGCTGCAAGAGGCATGTGCAGGAACAAAAAAATGTTCCCTGCTCTGCAAATTTGCATCTCAGGGGCAAAATTAGACCTCCTGGATATCCAGGGGGAAAAAAGCAGGGCAGGGCAGAATCCAGGACCATGCCCTGAAGCAACTGGAGGCTCGGGTCCTCCACAGAGATGCTTTGGTAGCCAGCCAGAGTGTCTCTATGGTTGGCCCTCACACTAGTACTGAAGCGCACTGCCTGCCCTGCACAGGCAGGCAGTGTGCCAGCCGCAAGGAGCTGGACCAGGGCTCCGTGCCAATAAGTAGGGAGTGGGGGTGGGGCCAGAGGAGGGGGAGCATGGGGAAACCTTTGCTGGCCCCATCCCCCACCCACTCCCAAGCCCCCCTATCACTGGCCCCAGCATCCCGGCAATACAAAAAGAACCCCAAAGAGCCCCGCACTCTCTGTCAGTAGTAGCTGCCGTAGGGGTCACTGGGGTGTTGTGGCAACTCCACCCGCCCCCCCCACCCAGCATGGCGCAGCAGGGATCGGCCCCAGTCACCTGACTCCCACACTACCACTGTCCCATCACGTAGGTGTGGCCAGGGTTGGCGGGGAGCTGCGCGACTGCGCACTGTCAGGCAGCTGGGGCTGCTCAGGTTGAGCGGTGCTGGGCACAGGTGACAGCCGCAGTGGCCCCAGCTGCCTGACAGCATGCAGAGCTGCACGGCGCCCTGCCAACCTGGGCTGCACCTGCGCGATGGGGCAGTGGCAGTGTGGGTGCCAGGCAGCCAGGGCCAGTCCCCACTGCCCCCCAGCTGCCCTGTGCTGTGTGGAGGGCTCTGCCATGAGGCTCCAGTGACCCCCATGCTGGACATGCTTTTTGTACTGATG